GGTTGAAACAATAATCACAAACCCGCACCGTCTGCTGCTCTGCTAGGGGAATCCTTGGGTCATAAGATGGAGCAGGAACTGAGCTTCCCGTACACTTGGCACAGAAAACTCGGCCACAAAGTCCACAATGGTGTCTTCGGTTAAATAACGTGAACTGGGCATCACAATCATAACACACCCTGCAGCTATGATCAGGCATCCAAAAATCTCGTGATACATTAGCAGGCTCCGATAACCAAGGGAGCCATGACTTTAGTACACCAACTAGTTCAGAAAATATGTTATTAGAAGCATCCATCATCCACCTACCGATGATCCGACTATCTCCATTCATTGCGCTATATTCATTTGACCCTCGTAACAACCCGTAAACTAGGCCGGGAGAAATTCTGTGAGTGAACTTTTACGCCCACCAATCTACCATCTCAATCCTAGAATGACTATATCATACGTCAGAGACAAGAAATCGCTTCCAACTCCATTAAAACTGGATCCAAATCAATTCCTGGCAACACAAACTAGTTGAACAAAATGAAATTCTTCTATCTTCAAATTCTTGAACCAAAACTAGTCGAACAAAGTTACAGATTGCAAGAAACCAGACTTTATAAATGGTAAAATTATAAGACTGATTCTCGGTTGCTACAAGATAAGATCAAAGCACACCCCTTCTCATGAACCAACACAAATTCCTCTTTCATCAATCAATCCTAGACGTGAATTAAACAAAATCCAATGTTGGAAAAAAATTTCATTTCTTCATTACAACAACCAATGACTAATCAATCAATTGATCGATTTTCAAATACTACGGAAATTTTCACAATTCAACCGTTTTTACCTGGAATTGCCAATCAACAACGTCAGCGTCAAAAGACCATGATCAACCCCTTCAAAAAATGAAGCAACCAACCGATAGATTCTTGTCGCGCAAGCAAACACTAAGGAAACGAAAAGTAGGTAAAAACCAATTGAAAGCGAGAGAGAAAGGGAATGCCCCCACAATGCAGAATGAGATTCTTTGTCAGGAAACCAATAAAATGGTGAAATTCTTGACCATGATAAGGACCATCTGCTTCTCAATATCAAAGAAAGAACCCCATCTTTCCTTTTAGCAAGTTTGTATCAAAACAACACCTGAAAAAGCCTACGCATTGTTTCCATACATAAAAATAATCTGGGCATTCTAAATATATCTAATCTCATTCATATGTTTTATTGCCCCGATATCCTGTGGCAGAGAAAGCTCTGTACTTTAACGTGGGTACTTGATATGAAATGTACACTCTGCTGTATGTTAAAAAATGAAATTTTGAGCAATGCTCTTTTTTAGGGTATGGGAGGACAAAAATGACAATGAAAGAGGAAGAGAATTTGTATTTTGGAGGTTTAACTACATTTAAAGACGAATGTGCAACAGAAACGGAGGAGACTTTAAAGGGTCATCCATTTGCTGCCTCTGACACTCAACGACGGAAAATAATCAACCACAATGCCCTCCACATTCAACCTCGTTTCATGCTTGAGTAGCAAAGCTTATATTTTTCATTTCATTAAGAAAGTACTTAGTTGGGAACGAAGATTTCAAAAGATTGAGCATACTCTGGAATCTTTCGATAATTGTGAGACGTAAAAAGAGAGTTGTGTGAAAAACTTTTGGCAGAGTACAACAAATATCATTTTAGTTTTGATTAGTATTAGATTTTGTGTTCAATCTTAGGAAATTTTACCTTCTTCACTAATAAGAAATTCTAAATAATAAATTATATATTTTAATAAAAGATACCTTCAATAAAGGTGTTTTTGGTTTGAGTAATCTTATATTACTTCTAATAATAACATATCGGGATTGAATTATCTCGTTTAGATTTTTGAAACATTAATTAATGGTAATAGTGTAAGACTATAGGGTAAAGTACAAAAAATTTCCCTTGATTATAGGTTGTTTTTTTCTTGAGCCTCTCAATTATCAAAAGTTACAAAATGGTCATCCAACTATAAGGTATTACTCAGTTGAGTCCCTAGACTATTAAATTTTACAAAATGATCTAGTGACTTTTTTTGTTTTGGTTGCCCTTCCAGTTTCCAAATCTTTGCCTTTATTAATCTGGATTGACCCGGGTCGCCCACTTGACTGTGGTGGATGAGTCTCCCAGTAGAAATTTTTTGTATTAACAAGAACTCGAACTCGAGACTTGCTTAAGCGACATCAAGTTGTTTATCGCTTGAACCAATCCCATTGGTGATCGAGTGACTCTTTTAATCTTATGGTTAGGTTGTTCGTTTGAATCAAATTAAACTTATCTATTGATCGAGTGACTCTTTCTCTATAAATTGAGTGACTCTTTCGACCCAACTCATCGGACTTAATCCGATTAAGATATAATTTATATCTTGTATTAATTATTATTAATATTAAATATATGTTTTATATTCTCTCTTATTTAGTATTAATGATAAGACCCATGCACAAACATCACCGGCACCTATCCATCCTATTTGATTCATAATCATATAACATGTGTGTTTCTTTTAAACACAACATGCTCTTTTTTAAATATATTTTAAACTCATAACTAATAATGTTTTAATAGGTAGTTTTAAATATTTATTCAATCGAACCTCATGATGCGGTCTCAATGATTAAAATAAATATTGTTATTTCTAGAAATTTTGAGTTTGAGCAGCGACATCTGCAGGGTATATATTATTAATGATTAAGAAAGATTTTAAACGTTTATAGTACCGGAGATGCACATATAACTAGTAATCAACGAGCTTCAAAGCAAAAAAGCACTCACTTTGGGTGAGTGTCATCGTTGAGATTGATTTACTGCATCTTTTGCTAACCAATTTGAATTTTTGATTGCATCTCTTTTTTCTTTGTTCGACGATGCTGTGATCAAGCTGCTAACTTGTTAGAAGTGCTCGTATTTTTTCAGGCCCGGGAAACAGGATCTTCCCGCTCCGACTAAAATGCAAATCCTATTGTAACTTCCCTCACAATTTTCATTGATAAAAAAAGTGAAGTGGGATCAAGTTAGATTATAGCATATCACAGATTCTAAAAAGAACAAAATAGACCCCAAATTCTTTTCAAAGAACAAAACTAGAATGTATAAACCCTAGAAACATGGATATTCTTTAGCTACCTACTATATATAGTTTATGTAATTGATAGGAAAGAGAAACAATGAAAACATGATAAATTAAATTATTCATGACATTAACTACTTTCCACGAGTACTGGAATCAGTTTTTCTAGTACATCAAAAGGTCATACAATGTAGAAGCAACATCTTTATTGTATATAGCGTTTCTTAGCAGAAGTAACAGCTTTATTGTATATAGCATTTATTTTCTTAGCAGAAGTTCAGCTACCTCACTTTACTTTGTAATCGCATAAAGCTATATAGTTGTTAGTTCCAAGGTTTTCCTGTAATGAAGGAAATCAAAGATTTATCTACCACAAGCTGGTCCATATCCAGCACCCTCACAACCAACCGTACATCCTCCACCCACCTTTTTCTTCTTCGATAGGGACATCCATGGCTGGCCTTCGAACAACGAGGACCTTTTTGAAGGTGTCTTTTTTGGCTTCCAAAGTGACTTTCGTGTTAGTTTCTTGGTCTTGGACGAGTTTTGAAGGGAGAGCGTTTTGAAGGAGGTTTTTTTTTTTTGGGTCCTGAGGAGGGGAAAAGAGAAGAAAGTTGGGTTTTGGTGAAAGATGAAGGAGAAAAGAATTGCGTACTTTCTTTTTAAAGGTTTATTTACTTGTATTTGATTTTTCACGAGAATGTTGGGCGGGCACCGGAGAAAAATTGTTAAGGACCGTTTTGCACATGGTGATGATTTTGAAAAAGAAAATAGGATGGTGGCAAAAAATATTAGGTAACCAAAGTGAAATTACGAAAATAATGGAATGATTAAATATGTAAATTATTCTTGATATTTGAATGGAGTTAATAGTTTAGGACAAATGAATTTAAATTTCAGAAGACAAAATATTCCAAAAAATACTTGAGACAACTTGATACAAAGTGTATAATTTAATGGGTAATGATGTTATTTCCATATTTCTAATATTTGCTTGTTTAAGCGAATTTATACTGCTGCTCAAGGGCGGAGCACTATTAGGGCCCAAAGGGGTCAAACCCTGTTAAAAATTTAATATATTCGACATAATTTTAGTTTAATAGTATTTTGGTTTATGTAAAAATAAATATTTAAATTAAAAATATAAGAATTTATTAAATATTTAATGAATTAGAGGTTGAACTAAAGAATGATAACCTCGTGTTCTCAATTTTTTGGTCTAATAATAATTTAAGTCATTTTAAGTTTAAATATTAGACAAATTAGGTGTTGTTTTGTGAGTTTTTGAATTTTTATATATATAAATTTATGGTGAATACAAGGTACTCTCTGTACAAAGACTCCCAACTATAATGAATGCTTATAAGCAATGCTCAAACTAGGGACTTCAAGGATAACAATAATCCATTAATCACTAAGGTCTCTTGATTCATGCTAAATTTTGAGTGTGAAAACTAAATAAGTTATTTTATTTTTCTTAATAATCTAATATTTTGGCCACTGTTATTTAATTCTGACTCCAATGCTTATAAGCAATGCTCAAACTAGGGACTTCAAGGATAACAATAATCCATTAATCACTAAGGTCTCTTGATTCATGCTAAATTTTGAGTGTGAAAACTAAATAAGTTATTTTATTTTTCTTAAATAATCTAATATTTTGGCCACTGTTAATATTTAATTCTGACTCCGTCCATACTGATACTACATAGAAGGATGGAGAATATCTTATTATCTGTTTAGCTACATAGGATAATAGAGAATATCTTATTATCTGTTTAGCGTAATAATATCATGTTGTTGTTGTTGTTTTTTCTTTTGGAAAGTGTACGTACATTTACGAGATATCCTTGAGGTATACGCACAATTCAAAATCACAATCCTTTTGTAGAATCTGAATTCAAACATGTTATTTGCTAAATACATTATCTTTACTTATTTGTGATTCTTGGGAAGAAGCTTCTCCCTCAGCTCTGCAACATCAATGTCGCCGAAATGATTCTCCGGAATCCAGTTCCCCGTCTTTGGATCTCTCATCCAGAACATCTCCTTCTCCGCATCATCTGCCGAAACAGCTTCCGCCCTCAAATCCACCACCTTTCTCATAACTGACGCCGCTGCTTGCTTCTTCATGTTCTCCGCCACAACCGCGTAGGATCGTCTACTACAACACATAAAATACACCCTCAATAATCATTCATTATAAGAACGGACACAATATTTTATATTAAGGATCAAACGTAAAAATATTTAAAAAAAATCAGATTATCAATAAAATATATAAAGATTAAGAAAGACTGCATGAAAAATAGTGCATATATATAATAAACAAATATCAACCTGAGTAGCTGAAAGTTCTTGATGGAAAGCTGAGCCATGGCCTGCTTAAGAAGACAGAGGAAAATATAATAATTATTTTTCTTTGTTATGCAGAGATTGAATGCACAAAAGCATGTTATTTATAGATGTTGAAAATGTAGAGTCTAGACCTTGAAAGAGTTGGAGAATATTAATGACTCTTTTACTTGCGTAGAAAGATATACGTAATAATAGAGAATCCAATAGACGTTTTAAACAATTACTACTAGTTTACAATCACGTGGGAATCTATATCTTTTAAAGTTGTATTTTAAAATATATTTTTAATGATTAATTAATTAATAAGATATTAATGGAGATAAACTTTTCCTATTTTTAATTATAATATATCTTAAAAGTATGTCATGATATAAAATCTAGGGGTGTTCAAATAACTGAACTAATTCGGTTAATCAACTGAATCGAATTAGTTCGGTTAATTCAGTTCGGTTATCGAATTAGTTCGGTCGATTAACGGTTAAGAAAATTTTTAGAATTTGGTTAACGGTTAATTCGGTTCGAAATCGATTAATTAACCGAATTAACCGAAATTAAATTTTAAATATTAAATATATTATATATAACATATGGGCTCAACCCAAACCATTTAAAACCCAATTAATAATTTAAGATCCAATAACTTTTTAAACCTAAATCAATATTAACTAATTAAAAAATTTATATAAAATTTTTATTTTATAATTATATATTATTTAAATTAATTGTAAACTGTTTTTTTTAATTAAAAAATATTAAATATATTATATATAACATATGAGCTCAGCCCAAACCATTTAAAACTCAATTAATAATTTAAGATCCAATAACTTTTAAACCTAAATTAATATTAATTAATTAAAAAATTTATCTGAAATTTTTATTTTATAATTATATATTATTTAAATTAATTATAAACTTTTTTTGAATTAAAAAACATTTAATTTTTATATAAATTAGAAAATTTTAAAAAATTTCGGTTAATTCGAAAATTAATCGAATTAACCGAAATTTATTCGGTTCGGTTAATATTTTCGAAAAAAAATTCGGTTCGATTAACGGTTAAAAAAAGTTCGGTTAATTCGGTTATGGTTAATTCGATTCGGTTCGGTTCGGTTTTAACCGAATGAACAACCCTAATAAAACCTAATTAGATAACTGATTTTTATAATATATATTTATCATCAAAGTGAAATTATATTGATTATTTTCATCCGGCCCTTTGAATAACAAAGAGATAAATGGAATATTGGGGGGAGGGGGAAATAAAATATATACAAACTTAAAGGTGATTCATTTGCATCACATATCGTTTAATAGAATACAACTTGGTATAATATTTATACTATTTAAAGAAAAATCTTCTATAAATTAGATAATATTATATATGTTTAAATATAATCATTCTCATATAGTGTAATTTATCAACGATATATTAATCGAATTATATTTACTTTAAAAAAGTTCAACTCATGAGGAAAGATATTGTTTTATTTTATGGAAATATATTTTAAATATATAAATATAAAATATTTTAAGAATTGAGAACTTCAATATCATAATTGAGAAGTTGTATGATATTAAAATTTATAATATAAATAGTTGTATAACATTAGTCTACATTACTCATTAATGTCAATAACTAATAATGGGTAAATTTTATAATTTTTTTTAAATTGCAAAGGGAAAAAATTCACATTAGAGGTCTAAGTACAGGGAACATGAATATTCCTCATAACCAGAGTAAATCTGATAGCGTAAGCGCAATCATATTAAAAGAGTTTGGGTGTGCAAGTTTAACAAGAGCCAGCTATCATGTTACTTTTGCGAAGCATCCATAATAATAATTTATTGGAAGATTTTTTTAATTTTTTTTACATGTTATATTAATAATGCATTGAAAACAAAAGTTATAAAAAAATAATAATATATTGAAAAAATAAAAAGTATTTTAGTCTCTTCATGAATTTCTCCCAACTTTTGCTTTTATGCATATTATAATATTTTATAAATTATAAATATAAATGTAGATAATTCGAATTTATGTTTTGGATTTAAGAACAGATAACGGGATTTCAGGGGGGAAGAGAATATGCGAAATGATATAAATCAATATGTATTATTCTCATTTTAATCATTGTACATAATCAATATCGTTAACCAAAAAAAATCTAATTACTCATCATTTATGAATTTATCAATTCATCAGCGAATATTCTAATAAAAAGTATAAAAAAAGATAAAATAATATCTCCTTTAAAAAATTCTATAAAAAATCAATAATGATAAATATTTAATAGAAGAGTTTTACCATTGTACGAGTCTAAGCTTTTGACTTTGGAAAAAAAGGAGAATATTAATATTAGTGCTTTAAAATAATTAGATTGAAATAAAGCTTAAAAATTTCATGATTTTTTTTAATAAGCTTAAAATTTTAATGATGCTTTTTTTATAACCACTTGTATTTTATATATTAATCAATTAATCTGGATTGTGTACTGCAAAGATGAGAACGACTCTCTCAAGCCAATTTATTTCATTTACAAACGTCAGAATTCGAACTCTTAACATTCCTTAAAGGATAAAATTTCATGATATTACGTATGAAAAAAAAAGAATATTAATATTAATGCCAATTCAATGCATGTTTTACTTCATCAGTTATACTTGGAATTGGATTTGAATCTAAAAGTCACACTCATCTAATACATATTACAAAAGCCAATGATACCATTTGCCCATAACAGCAAAATCCAACACAAAAAGGATATTACATTATCTCTTATATATATTTCTTCATCTTTTCTTCTTGGTGGTTTTCTTTTTAAATTTCCAAACACCCACCACATGTGTATAACCTTTTTCTAGGGAATAAGAACATTTGGAATACAAGAAATTCTAAAAAAAACTCCATGAAATTTGATGTTTCATGTAAAAAGAATTTTAATTAAGCTTCTTTTGTTATTTAATTGTTTATAGAATTGGACTGAATTGAATTTTAAATGGTACAATGACAAAATATATCTATAATGTTTGATTAAATAGTCACTTTGGTTTATATTCATTTTTAAAGCATTTTGTCCCTTAACGTTTCATTTTAGGAGATCGTAGATGGAAATCATTAGTCAACAAACGTTCAACACTCCAAAATATGGGCTTCCCCCTAAAACGAAACGTTTTGGGGAGCAAAATGTTTCAAAAAAGAATAAAGACTAAAGTGATTATTCAGTCAAATGTTAGAGGTTTTTTTTGCCCTAATATTAATGTTGGGAGATAAAAATACTCTAAAAAATGGAAAATGAGCCAAAATGATTATATAATTAAATATTAGGGGTACTTTTTAATATTATACCATATTAAAATATATCTTGAAGTTAAAGTAGAGCATCTTTGCAATAAATCAAAACTCATGAATAGGCAAAGCATAAGCATAAGCATTGTCGATTGTCTAGTCAAAATTTATGACATTTAGAATCAAAGATGAATAAAAGTATACATATTCCATTTCCACCAATGATTCTTTGATTCTGGTCATGACCATTATTGATGTTCCCAAATAGTAATATAAATGAATCGAACAAACACAAAGGAAAATATATTCATGTTCGTTCGTTTAACTTTAACCGTATAAATGTTGCTTGTTCGTGTCCATTCATGTTTGTTCGTTAAAAAAATAAACGAACATAAATGATCGAACATAAAATTAATTGAGTTTACACCTGAGAAGAGTTTTTTTTCTTCCAAATAATTTTAGGATTTATATTTTCTTTAATTGATTGATTTGAGTATTTTTTATTTGGGTTTAAAATTAATTGGGTTTTTAAATATTAATGGATTTAAGGTTAAAATTTATTAGGTCTTAATATTTTAAATAGGTCTGGAGATTGAGCTGAATATAAACGAACAGATTATCGAACGTTTACGAACGAACGAGCTATTTGTTCGTCTTTTTTTCATTTAACTAAATGAACATAAAATCTTGTTCATGTCCGTTCATTTAATAAATAAACAAACATAAACAAACTTTTCATCGAACGATTCACGAACAGTTCGTTGAACGTTTGATTCGTTTACATGCCTATTCCTAAAATTATACAAAGTTTAACAAAATCTTGATGCATTGTTATTCAGAAAGTGAAGTGAAAATTTTCTATTTAAAATCATCAGATATTTTTCTCAAAAAGTGATTTAATTGAATGGGATATAATTAAATTGATAGGGTTATTTGAAAAATGAAAATGACATTGATTATGATTGATGACCAACTTGTTTTATATTTGAAGTTTAGATCAGTTAATTTATGTGGTTATTTTTAAATTAAATTTAAATTTTATTAGGTTTGAGGGCGTCAAAAGCTCGAAATATTTTTTTATATAAAAAGTAACTAATTTATTTTTTTCTTACTTCATTGAATTATTAAGTTAGTACATTGAACTTTTTTATCAACCGTTTTTTTTATTGAGCGTAAATATCTTGATATGGGCATTAAACTTATCAACATGTTTATTAAACTAATTAATGTGATAGTAAACATTTAAATGATGATGTGATAGATGAGGTTGATTAATTTTTTTAGAAATTTTGAAGACTTCTCAATTCTTAGGTAAAATATAATTAAAATAATATAAAAATTATTAAAACAGTTTAAGTATACAAAAGGTGCCTAATTTATACCCGTTTTTTTAGTTTAGTGTCTAACGTTTATTTCATTTTAGTTTGGTATCTAATGTTTCGTTTCATTACTTAAAATGGGTCAAGCCATCAACAACGTTAATTTCCTCCGTTAAAGTGACACGTGTTACAATCTGATAATTTTAAAATTTTTATATAAAGTTAGAAAATTAAATTATATATTTTTAAAAAGAAAAAACATAAATTTTGAAATAACCCCAAAACAATGAAAACCTTCATTTCAACCCCGAAATCTATGTCGACCACCGCCCTTTGCCATCGACGAACCTCCACTCGACCTCACCTCCCCCCAACGACCAAAACCCCTATGAAATTGTAACTGATCAACTGTCGATTGACGATGAATCGACGTTTTATACCCTACGAACCATATGATGAAAATCGCAATCCCAAGCGATTTCGACGACGACTTATAACTAGAATGATGACAATGACTACGTCGGCGGTTGTGGTTGTGGCCGGAAAGGATAGAGGCAGCGGGTTAGTGTTAGGATTTGAGGATTTTGATGCTTTTTAAATTTAAAAGAAATAAGGGGTTTTATAAATATAATAATATTTTAAAAAAATCAAAATTACATGATTATGACATGTGTCACTTAACGGATAAAACTAACGGTCTGTCACCTTTTGTATACAGTATACTTAAATCTTATTAAAAACATCCATAAATTATTAATATATATTAGAAAATAAAAATAAAAAAGTATTTTTTTAAAAAATAAAAAAATTTGTTTTTTTAAATATATTTAAAATATTAAAGAAAGTATTGAAATTCTAGAAAATAAATTTCCACTCTTGTCAGATCGAGTCTATTATTGTTTCTCAAATACATTTTTTAATAGAATCAATACTGAATTAAAACAATTGTCTCTCATGAAGTTCTTCAATATAGTTTAAAATGAAAGAACAAAATATGTAACAAATTGATGCTTATGAATCTCGGTTTAGATCTCAAATTTTTGTTATTTTAGAAGCAATTGGAATAATAAGACATCACCCCCTTGCGGTCGGCCGCAGTTTATATGAGTTGCAGGCGCTCGATGATAGTTTGGTAGTGCTGGTATGGATGGTGTATACCCCTGTTTACAGGTTTCGGCTCGCCAGTCAAATACGCGTTTCGAGTTCTCCACGGTGCTGCTCCCTCCTAGCCAAATAAGGTATACAGAGGCCAGTTGATTTTCTTTGTTCGGTCTATTATAAGTCTATTCCAGGGGTTGTTTTCTTTGGTATGTTTGGCTCTGGATGTAATAGGCTGGGTTCTTGGCTGGTAATCGGGTGGCTTTGAATGATTATTAGTCGAGCTTTTATTTAACTCATTCGTGTGATTTTTTCCATCAATAAAATTCGAACACTCTTTTCCCCTTAATAGATAATGGAAGAGATTTTGAACGAAGTCTGTTATTTTTCACGAAAAAAATAAAAATAAAACATCATCAGATTACATCATGAACACCATCTAGTATCTTCAAGTAGAAGAAACAAATCATCTTTAAATTCAACTTCTTCATATGCGAATGAATGGAGTATTTTCGAAGTCTAACATCAACAAGTACAAAAGATCATATTATTTTCAATGTCATTTCCAAAGTATAAAGAAATGGATCATCATTTTCAATTCAAAATTTTGTATCCTAAAATTGACATATCAAACCCCTTTCTATATCACTTGTATCATACTCAACGTACACACTTGTATTTTATTTTGGTAAATTATAACGTTCTCAACTATCTTTTTACTCTCCTTTTTATATAATAAATTATAACTTTCATCACTTAATTATCTTATTACTCTTATTATTATTATTTGGCAAAGAATGAAACTAACTGCTAAATTAACACTCTATGACTAGGCCATCGCCATTCAACTCTATCAGCATAAATACCTACCTAAAAAAAACTTCTTTAACTAGGATTATCTCCACGTAAATGTTTCTGTAAAATGATCTGTACCATTAACGGCGGGTTGGGAAACTCCAAACATTCGTCTACTAATTTTGACAAGCAATCTGATGCTCTTTTTCCTTCTCGAGGGACATTTTCGAACCTTACAGTCCAATCCTCCTTTAAGAATAGTATTATGTGTTGCACCATTGTTATCTGAGTTTGTTCGTTCTATGCTGCTTTGATTGTCTTTATGACTTCCAAACGGTCCACTTCTACAATGACCTTGTTTATCTCTTGCTCCCATGCGTATGAGAGTCCTAGGTATATTCCCAAATTTCAGCTTCTAAGACTGAACAAGTACCTATGAATTTAGTGAATCTCATCTTCCATGCTCCTTCATGGTTTCTGATGATTCCCCGCACGATGCTCTCCCTGTTCTCATATCTCTAGCTCCATCCGAGTTAATTTTCAACCAGCCTTAAGGTGGTCGTTTCCAAGATATTGATCTTACTGTTGCTTGATTTTGGGCTCTCCTTGGATGTTCTTCAGACTCTATCGCTTTGCATGAATTTACCCATAGGTGTCTGCTCCTCTCCAGCACTGTTCTTCTGTCTTCTAGAGGTGTGTCAAATGCGATGGAGTTCCGATGTAACCATATATTCCATACTATTGCTCCAAACATTATGTCCTAATGGTTCACCGTTCCTACGAAATCATGTGCTTTACCGAGATTTAAGCTTAGCCACGATGACATCTCCATTTCTAGAAAAACCTGCAGCTTTTCTTTCTTGACAACTGCTGACCATATTGTTACAGCCGAGGGACATGTGCGCAGTAAATGGTTTGTGTCTTCCTCTGGCGCAAAACATAACGGGCAGCTGCTATTTTTTGTGATGTGTCGACGCTTTCTTTCCGCATTTGCCATTATCCTCAAACCTTAATAAAAACAAAATTAAAACTCTCAAATCATACCTCAAACCCTAATAAAAACAAAATTAAAACTCTCAAATCATACCTCAAACCCTAAATCAAACCCCATAATTTGAATCGTAATCCTTGAACTCTACACTTAAACCCTAAATTTTAAATAATAAATCATAAACCCTAAATTATACCCTCATAAATCTAAACTTAAACTCCAAATCCTAAACCCTAAATTATAACCCATAAACTTTATATCATAACATCCAAACCCCAAATCAAATCACACAAACCCTCGATTGCAACCCATAAATATCAAATCATGTCACCTAAACCTCAAACCCCAAATCCCAAATAGAAACACCCAAATCTCAAATTACATTACACCCAAATTCTAAATCACATCCTCCAAACCTCAAATCATAAAATACAAAGCCCAAATTACAACCATACACTTCCCAATCGTTAAAGCTTTGAGATGAAATACGGGTTCAAATGAGTATGAATTAGAGGTTGTGATTCGAGATATGAATAATTTTTACTATAAAGAACAATTGATGTTAAATATTAATAAAATATGCAATATCATAATGAAAACAATATTAAAATAATATATATTATTAGGAAATGACCAAAACAAGAGTAATTTAAGAGTTTAATTATTATTATTTTTTTCCAATTTCAATGATCAAAATAATATTAAAATAGGAGTGAGAAGAACAATTAAATCTATTTATGTAATATATATATATATATATATTATAAATCAGTGAACGTTAATATGACCATAATCATAAGATATATATATTCTCATAGATAAGCAAATGATACTTAAAAAATGAGAATGAAAGGCTTAGGAATAGGATGGCCGAATAAAACAGAACACTTCGATTCGTCCTTTTTAGATGAGAACTATAACAAAAATCTCTATCAAGCCTTTCATGTCTAACAAAACTATAACTAAACTGTGCCAAAATCACAAATTCAATCACAATAACTCATTTCTAATAGAAAAAAAAAAGTTTGTCAAAAAAAAACCTCACTCCCAACCAGTGGGAGGAGCAGGAGCGGGAGCATCAATTCCAGAGACGGGGATTGGTGCCGGAGCACTTGCAGGATCCCAACCATCAGCACCACCAGCAACTGCATTTCAAATTCTAAAATATTAGGCAATGAAACAACCATTATGTAGGATATTAAGTAATATGAATGACAGTAAAAGTAAAACATCGGACCTTGATCACCCCAGTTAGCTGTAGGGGCACCTGGAATAGGTGGCTGAACCATATCAGTCCACTGATCGCCACCCATTTGTGCGGGCCATTGGTCAGCTCCTAAAGCACCCATACCAAAATCTGCAGCAGGGAGTCCATAATCCGGGGCAGCAACAACTTCCTCCTCTTCCTGCTCTTTAGCTTCCTCTGGCTCCCTGTAGAAAAATAGATCCACCTACATACAACAATGTCCTTTATGAGTACACAGAAAAATACATAAAAGAAAATCGTATCGACATCATAAAGATGGTCTTCTCTCTTTTACCATCACATCCCATTTCTGTCCAGGAGCAATTGTTCCACGCATCTGAAGAACCATTCTTGCTAACAGCCAGAAAAGACAGCCAATGCTGTGTTTTCCTTTGTTATTAGCAGGGATACCAATGTCAACATATCGCATCGGTGAGTCAGTGTCACAAAAAGCAATGGTAGGAATGTTCCCAAGAGCAGCTTCCTTGATAGGCTGCACATAAAATACTCAAATGTTAGCCAATCAACAAGTATCGTGCAAAAATATAACTTACTGTCATGATAAAAACTCAACCATCGTGTGCAATTTACCTGGTGGTCGGTCCTAGGATCCGTAAGGATAAGAAGGCGAGGCTCACTGAAAGAAGTCTGGAGTTGGTTAGTGAATGTACCAGGAGTGTGCCTTCCAGCAATAGCATGACAACCGGTGTACTGAGCAAACTTCAAGACAGCTCTCTGACCATAGGGTCTTGCAGACTGGACAATGATGTCCTGAGGGTTCTCTATAGCAACAATTACACGTGCAGCAAGCTGAAGCTTCTCCCAGGTCTTGCCAAGGTTGATGATGTAGATTCCTTTTGAGGACATAAAGATAATTCCATTATCAAAGCATAATGGAATACATATTAATCAATGTCGTCAAGAGCACAAAACTTGCATCTAATCAAATATGCCTTGGACAAAACAAAAAGTTCATGTCTTTAATTATGTTTAGCACACACAATCAAATCAGGTCTCTAATTGCAAATTCAATAGGCAAAACCAAACGATCATCAAACATGCACAACTAAAAAGGTACCCGGCATATAAAAAAAACAATGCCATTTCTGCAAGCAACAGATAGCTCCTAAACCATCCGGTTGAGTAAATTCTCACATGCCAAAAAGTTCAGTTACATTAGAAATTTCATATTTCAGAGTAATTCAACATATAACACTCGAAAGAGCAGGGCTAGGACGTTGGAGGCCCTGTGCAAATTCTTAAAAAGAGGCCCTTGCTATTCGGGGGCCTTGCAAATTTCCTTAGTAAAAATTACAAAGCTTGAATGCAATATATATAGGGAGATTGATGATATTACTAACTCAAATACTAACAGATCATTTCAATGAACAGATCATTTCAATGAACTATATTTTACAAGTGAAATGAAATAAAACAATAAACCAAAGCCTCTAGCAGATCTCGTATCTCCTACAAAATATACGTCCAGCAACCAAATAAAACAAATAAACTCAAACATTAAAAACATAAAACTGAATTAAAACCAACCTAAATATCGAAAAACAAAGAACAAATGCAAGAAAAAGGGGTAACTTTGAGCTTCAGTAGTAAAATCCCAAAAGCTAAAACAAGTAATAATTCAAATAAAAAAACAAAACTGAATCTATATTATATAAGAAACAAAGAAAAACAAAAGTTTTACCGTCATTGCGACGCTTGAAGACGTAACGCTCCATTTGGAAATCACAGTTCTTGGTACCGAGATGGACCTCGGCAGCCAACATCATCTGGATGTCGACCTCTTTAGGAGATAGCTGCCTCGCGGCTGTGGCTGTAGCCATTCTCTGTGCTTTTCTTTAACTGCTGAATCACAGAAGAGATGATTACGAGTGTGGGAAAACAAATGAGGCTTGGTGAGAATATGTATAAATAGGATAACTTGAATTTATAAACTGGGGAATTCGAAGGCCGAGGGAAACCCTAGTTGATAATTAAAGGGTAAACTACATAAAATTTCACTAAAGTATAAGTATATTTTTCCCACTGAAGTTTCAAATGTAACAAAAAAGTCACTAATATTGTCATTTAATAACAAATCAGTCATTCTGCCGTTTATAGTTGTTACCCCAATAACAGAAGTCTGATATGGCACATTAGATTGACTTGCTTGGTACCTTTTACCATACCAGAAACTTCAATCATTTATTGGGATTTTTATAGTATGTTATTGATAACATGAAAAGTTTAGAGCAATCGATTATTGCTGGCAATGGTTTTATCGGTATGATTCTGGCCACCGCGTGTCAAATTTTCCAGCTGCAGAACTTTGCTTATTCTTTCAACTATTTTACCGGAGAATCAGCCAGTTGCGCGTCGATATCGAGTTTAAAGGTGAGGAAGGAAAATGTTGGATTCTCTATATTTGTTGGTCTACACTCATATGTTGTTGTTTTTTTTCATTTTACGTGAATCATTAGTATATAAAAAAAAAATCAGTATTTGATGGTCTTCATTTTGCATATTCGTGTCCAGCATGTTTGTCTGACATTTTCAGATATGATTTTGGAATATGGCTCTCCAAATACATGGAAGAACTTAAAAAGAAACAAAGCATACCCATAGTTCGTACACTCAAACCCGTGTAACATGATGCAATTAAGTGCTTGTGTTTTAATATAAAAATAATTGTATTTCCTGCATGTATCTGGTTGGTTGTCACAAGTTATTTAACTTAGGGTAAATTACACCATTTCTCACTGAACTATACTCTCTCTAATATTTCACTCACTATACTTTCAATTTTTCTAATTTACTCACTGAACTTTCGAATTGTTCATGTTTTGATCACTTTAAATTATTTTATTATTACTTTTGTATGATGTGGCATTTTTTATTATTTAATATAAAAAAAATATAAAATATAAAATAAAAACATAATGTGGTCGGACACCAACGTTGGCCACCGTTGATCGCCATGGTGGTCATTCGATTCCAAATTTCATGTGTCTTGTTCGTCTCGACCCCTTGAGTCAACTAATGATTTTCATTCACGGAGGGACCTTTTTACCCCTAAATGAAACATTGAGGACTAAAATGCTAAAAAAAATAAGGGTTAAAATGACTATTTTGATAAACGTTGTGGGCTAATTTTAGCATGACATAATACCAAAATTAACCCCCAAATGTTTACTAAAATAGTCATTTTGGCCCATATTCTTTTTTTGGAGTATTTTAGGCCCCAACATTTCACTTTGGGGTAGAAAATCCCTTTATACATGAAAATTATTAGTTAACACACGATTAACGCACCAAATAGGAGCCTTTTAAACCTAAAATGAAAAGTAGAGAGTTAAAAATGCCCCAGAAAAAAAGAATAAGAGACAGTGATTATTTTGTCAAATGTTAGAGATTTTTTATCCTAAAATGAAACGTTGGGGCCAAAATGCTCCACACACATAAAAAAAAAAGAATAGAGGGCAAAATGAAAATTTTATTAAACGTTGGAGGGCTAATTACAGCATTATGCCTAAAGAAAAATGGGTTAGCAGGGGATTAGTTATAAATAATAAGACGGGTAATGTTTAACATCTGCGCCTGTAGCTCAGTGGATAGAGCGTCTGTTTCCTAAGAAAAAAGTCATAGGTACGACCGACCCCTATCTGGCGCGTTTGTACTACATTATGTTGTAAATGCTTGTTGGGGCTTCATGTTATAAATTGATTTCAATGTAAAACATATTATCGGCATAAAAATTAAATTATTTTAATATTTATATTTGAATTCTTAACTATTATCTTTTAACTAATTAAATTATATGAAATCTAAATTCTATATATTAACGAGCCTTGATAATATTTCATAAAAATTGCTTTCTAGGATTTAGAAGTAGATTGTAATAACCCGGAAAAATGAAAAAAAAAATTATAATTAAGTAATTTGGTGAAATTTTGGGATTAAATTAAAAGTTTTCAAAATTTGTAGGTTGTTTTAGAAGTTGAAGGAAATTTAGGGATCAAACCCTGAATATTTCCATAGAGTGTCGGCATAAATTTTTGGTTATATACGTGCAAATTGATTCTGGTTTCATACCAGAACAATTTGGTAAATTTCCTCCCCGTATCTCTACTTTCAAATTCGATTCCGACGTCGTTCGACCACCGATCGTCGATCCAAAATCACCATCGTGTTCGTCATCAACCGAAACAAAACCCCGTAAATCGATCGTAATGAAACATTGTCAAACATCGTGAATTTCGATTCAAAGTTTCAACCCTTTTTTAACAGTACTGCCGTGAAAATCATCAATTCATCGTCGATCGCTGCTCCGTTTTCGACACCTCCTGCACAATCGTGTTCCTTGTGTCGTTCCGAGCCCACCAGTGTCCTCTTTGTCCCCGTCGTCACCGGTGCGTTAGGGAGGTGAAGAAGTAAAAGTGTCCAACGTATTGAAATTGAGCTCTCCACCGTTCAAAATTTTGAACTGAACTTGGTAAGTGTCTCAAAATCGCTTAAAATATTTTTAAAATTTTTTAGGGAATTTTTAGGCCCCTACGCGTGGGGGAGCTTCGAAAATGGTTGGGCAGTGTTAACCAAGTTTGACCCGACCCATTTGACCCAGTTTAACCCATTTACACGACCCGTTGATCGTTGATCGAAAAAGTCAAACTTTTCGAAAAGTCATATTTTATGTTTTTTTATGTTCCGAGTCCGAATCCGAAGTCCGTTTTTCCAAATCCGAACCCGTAAGCCTCGAAATTGTCAGTCAAACCTGTTGACTGACTTTGACCAAAAAGTTAAAATTTTCGAAAAGTCATTTTATGTTTTTCGACATCATGAATCTGATTCTGAAGTCAGTTTTGCCAAATTCTAACCCGAAAGCCCCGAATCAAGCTCGTTAACCCAAAAATGCTTAGTTTTTTTTAGCATTTTTTATTATTTATTTGAGATATAGTTATAAAATTGATCCAATAAGGTATTTTATGAAGGTACTTGTGTTTCACCTGAGCGAGGATCAGTATTGTCCATTCGTCAGATCCGCCCGATCCGCGCACTACACGAATTACTCGTAGGTTTTCATAAATTATTTAAATAAAGGTTAAAATTATTCATATTAGGATTCTAATATGGATTTCCTCGATTCGTAGGATCTAGCGCTGCAGCAGAGCGTGATCGACAAACTCAGTAGTATGCTTCCCTATACGATTACTCAGACTGTTACAGGTGTGTTGTTTCCTGACATTGTTATTTTATTGTTTTAAAATATCATTTGAATTGTTTCAGATTGGTGATAATTATGAATATTTTTACGACATGATACCTGATTTCTTGATAATGTTTACCCGACATCTGATTATCATATTTATGTATATGATTTTCAAGCATGAAACATTTTCATGTTTTAATGGATTAATCACCATTTTAACTCGAATACATACTTGTTTATTTATGTCATTGGGTGGGAAATATTGTTGGAGGAAGTATACTTGTAGGCTCTTCGGCTTTGTGCTCAGGGCCTTACTGGACGTGACGGGGTGTATGATTCTGGGGAACTTACACATTTTGGACGTGATTGGATGGTGGTAGTGTTTATATTTTTAAAACATGTTTAATGAACTGATTTTAATGAAATATTTTATTAGTATGTTTTTTATACACTGTATGAAACACATTGGGCTTTTTAGCTCATTCTGTAAATTTTACACTTTTCAGATAACAGCAGACCATAATCTAGCAGATTTGGCATCATAGTTGATCAACTACTTTTACTTTTGTATGATCGTATATCTCTATATGTTTTTAAGTTGTATTTGGTGACATGTATTTTGCTATCGTTTTGGATATACCCCGTATTACCGATATTTTGTTCCGTAAATATTTTATACGGTTTTCTGTGGTATTTTGATACGTATGTGTTTTATATAGTTTTCTAAAATATGTATTCATATATGTTTATCGTATAAATCTTTATTATGGATAAATTTCATATATTAATAAAAACATGGATTTCAACGTTGTTTAAAAAAATAAAAAAGAATTTCTGAATGTGATACGTAATCACCTAGACATAGACATAACGTCCAGGCCGGGTTTAGGGGTTACATAGATTATATTTCCATAAAAAATGTATAAGAGGGTTAAATTAATGTAATATTGATATCAAGAAAAGAGAAATTAGAGATGTTATATTATCATTTAAAGATTTTGAGTTGTTAAAGAAAATATTGTTCTTTTTAAAAAATTTACTTTAAGCAATTATGTATGTAATGTGTGTGCACGTTATTAATATTTAAGAAAAATTCTAGATAGATTATAGTTTAAAAAAATTGTGTGATGGTTTAAATCTAAAGGAAAGAAGAAAATGAATTTGAGTGAATTTTATTGTATATAAAGGGGGGGTTATAAGATGATTTTGAAAATGAAAGTGATGTTTTGGTGAAGAGAGAAAAATGTGAACTATATTTAACTAAGTACTTTTTTGAGCAAGTGTAGTTGTTAGAAGAATTTGTCAAGTAAAATTTAATTTGTCTTTTTAAAAATGAAATTTAATTATTCAAAAAATAAAACTCAAAAGATACATAAAATATTTTATTATCTCCTAATTCATCAATAGATTTAAACCAACGTATGTTAGAACCTCCAACAAGAATCGAATAAAAAAATTAAAGCTTTGAAGATAGCGTTGGTGCAATTACAACTATAACAATGACGGAATAAAAGTACATCACATTTTTGAAAAATGTGATATTTTGGAGAAGAGAGAAAAAAATGTGAAATATATTTAACGAAGTAATTTTTTGAGCAAGTGTAGTTGTTAGAAAAAATGTGAAGTAATTTTTTCAAAAAAAAAAAAAAAACTCAAAAGATACATATAGTATTTTGTTATCTCCTAATTCGTCTATAAATTTAATCTAACACGAGATAGAACCTCCCAACAAGAATCAAATAAAAAACATTAAAACTTTGACGATAGCGTTGGTGCAATTACAACTAATGACGGAATAAAAATACATCATAATTACTTTTATTAATATTGTTGTATAGAAATTTTGATATTTGTGAAAACTTACTCATAATCACACCATCAATTCGTTACTAAACGCCTATATTATTATAGTATATAAACCATAAATATTACAAATTTTAAGATATCAAATTTTGACTATTAACGACCTTTAAATACTAATTCATCGACGCTTATTAAGGGGAAAAACACTTCCATTAATTCTAAGGGCAAAGTACACAAATGATCATCTGACTACAGAGTATTACTTTATTGAGTTCCTAATTATTAAAAGTTATAAAATAGTCACTCGATTATTCATTATGTTCCAAACTCATCATTTTTCGTTAAAAAATTAATGATCGTTTGAACTAGACGTTAACATGCTGACTGAGATATGATAATAATATCAAACGATTATCATATCTCAGTCAGCATGTTAACATCCAACTCAAACGATCGTTAATTTTTTAACGAAAAATGATGAGTTTGGAACATAATGAATAGTCGATTGACTATTTTATAACTTTTAATAGTCAAGGAACTCAACAAAACAACTTGCTATAGTCAGGGACTATTTTGTAACTTTTAATTATTGAACTCAACAAAATAATATTCTATAATCAAGGGACCATTTGAGTACTTTACCCTAATTCTAATTAGTTCCCTGTGTGGAGGACATATAAATATATAATATCCCTGAAGTTTGATGAACAAAGATGTTAACTCTTTCAGCTTGGCTTCAAAAACGAGACTCGAGCAAAGTCCAAGAAAATGCAATCCACCTGAATGTAGTTTACCGCGACCAGACGAGAACTTGCCGTCCATGATTCCGGTTGTAGCCACGACTTCAGTTGCACCTGCTCCGACAAAGACTAGGGAAAATGGTATGTCAAAATCAAGAATAACCGTATCTGATAAAGCTTGTAAGAGTTTATATAAAACGGGATTTAGTTTTTTGGGAAAAGACTCAAAAGGTACATAAAGCATTTTGTTAATTCTTAGTTCATCGATAAATTTGATGATTTTACACGGGTTAGAATCCTCCCAACAAAAGTCTAATCAAAGAACATCATTGGAGCTTTGAAGATGGCATTGGTGAGACCCAGAGATGAAAACACAGTGGGACAAAAGCAGTATAAAATCCTATCAACATGCTGTTGGTGCAAGCAATTTTGGTGTTTTACTCGGCAGAAACATGAGCAAAGATAAGGATGATAATGTTCCAAACATCATAAAAGCATTCCATGCTCTTACTTGCTTCTTCATGGTGCAATCCAATTTTGTGCCAGACATCTTTGTCTCAAGCTGATAATATTTCCTTCATCCTTCAAAGCAAAAATAAATATAAGATAATTATATATATAAAGCATAAAATGCAATCTCTAAATAAAATAAAACTCATTAAATTCTACAAGTTCATAGTTTGACAACACAATTGTAATAAATGAGCAAGCCATTTTGGTCATCTACAAGGTCTTCTGGAACCTTGCAATGCTGTATCTTACCTTGTTTCCCTTCATCACAACGTGGTGATAAGACGGAGACAATTGGCCTTTTAACCATGCCTGTAATCCAATTGCAACTCCCTGATAGCCTCGAAAGGCCTTCTCAGAAATACAGAGCTCTTTTGTTTGTAAATGCAGATCAAACAGCTCTCCCAGGGCTCTGAGTAGTGCCTTTCGAATATCCAGGACTTGGTCGACATAGCCACATTTTTCTCCTCTGCCTCCTAAAATCTTCAAAGAGATATTACCAAAAATAATCAAAACAAGCTGATATACTTTCTTAGCTCGTCCAGTCTCTCTTTGCTTCTCCATTTCCTTTTTCTCAGAGGCAGTTTTTAATGTGTGATCCTCTTCTTCAACCAGAGAGTTCAATGGGAAATCACACAACTTTAGATAGCACCTGCATTTCATCATGACAATGCAAAATTTTATATATGTATGCATATTAATTCTTCTTCCCTGTTATAAAATTGAGAAACTTTTCCATCCTTTTTGGTTGTGGTCCGGGGTCCATCTCTTCATAGGCATTACATTTTCGCTTTTTAAGGGAAGAATTAGCCATTGATCCATCATTGTTATCTTCCAAATCTTTCTGATACAATACTCGAACCCCCCATTTCTTCACCTTAACACATTTGGCACAATCATCGGATGTGATTGACAATTCAAGTTCATCCAATATCTCATTTGAGCAATCTGTTGTAGGTGAATTTTGAATTTCACTTTCACCACATGTATCCTCCAAGTAAGATGGATATAACGAGTCATAAGACAAATAAGTAAGATAAATGTGGTCCTTTATTATTGGCTGGATATGTTCTTTACTAAAAATCCAGCCGCCCCTTGTGATACGTCGATGATTTCTACCCTGAAAAAAAGATCCATCACCAGCTTGTGAATTTCTACGGCGGATGACAGCTTCCCACGTGAGTTCCTCATCATCCCTCGAAGCATCGTCATTAACAAAAATGCAGCAGAAAACAACTCCGATCCATCGACTACCATTCCGAATATTGTTAGGCAGTGGTATCTTGATTGAAGAGTCAACTGTTTGATGGTTGAACCATTCGGGAATTTCACTCCCAGGTATAACAACATCAAAACCTTTTATTGAATATGCAATTTCCTGCAAAATAAAACTCATGTTGCTTGGTAACTACTATAAATTCTTAAGAACTATATTCTGTAAGTGAGAAAGAAGGATTAATCTACCCTGATATGTTTTTTCAGCAACATTAATGCATTGATATTCTCAATCAATCTGTAGCAATGAAGGCCATTAAACCGATACCAAGCCACTGCAGTGCAAACATTTGATGGATATATTAGAGGCTGAGGAAACGATTTAAGCTCCCTGCAATTCGACAATCCAAGGTATTGAAGCCTCAAAAGTCCACTAATAAACACAGGTACAGTGATGAAATTGTTACCGCCAAGATCAAGTTTTTCCAGATAGGATAAACAAGAAATATCACTAGGAATATCTCCTTCACGAAGATTGCAGTTCCTTAATTTCAGCTCTCTTAATGAACTCAAACCCGACAATGAATGTAACATCAGAGGCACAGACTCGATCCTTCTTCCCTGGAATATGCGGAGAAGAGACGGTAGATTTGGTCCTAACTTAGATGATGGTCCCTTAAGCCTATTCAAAGACAAGACTTTAAGATTTTTAAGTTGAAAAATGAAGGATGGTGGTTTTTCTATGGCTGTTTCACTTAAGTCAAGCTCTTCCAACAACTCTACTTGCTGCAAATTCACCGGCAAATTCCTAAGCCTTTTGCAACATCTTAAATTCAAATGTTTAAGCTTCGAAAGAATTCCAATCGATGGATGAACATCTACTATCCTTATACAACCCTCAAATATCAAAGTTTCCAGATTTGGGGATGTTGTAAAGTCCGGTGTCTTGATAAGGTTTTTGGACCCTTTGAGGTTGAGCACTTTCAGTTTATACAGGGGCTGTTGGAAACAACAGTAAATTAGAGCAGATTTAGTTAATCTTCTTAAAATAAGCTAGAAAACAAGGGTGAGATGAATTAGTTCTTACTGTATTTGCCTTCCATAGTTGTTCAATGTGGCTGTATGGTAACAGAAGTGCAACAAGGTTGTCTGGTTGGAAGCTTGGAGGTAAGAATCTAAAAGGATATCCCATCCAATCTAAAAGCCGTAGCTCATCTGGAAGATATGTGAGTTCATTACAATTTGAGAGGCAAAGGACATTGAGCAATCTCATTTTTTTCATCTTCGAGACGGCATCAACATTCAAGTTGAGCATCTTGGTCGGTTCCCTGATTACAATCAAAATTCACTTCAAAATATACCACGCATATCCGAATATAAATTTAGAGATTATTCTTCAAAAATACATGAAAACAAACGTCAAAAAACGTTTAACATGCATACAGCTTGAAAAACATAGCCCATAGGAAAATAGAATTGATATCTGCAAACACATGTATGTATGTCTTGCTACCTCTTATTGTCAATGATCATGCCTTCAATCACTTCGGTAGCCTAAAAACATTCAAGAATAAGACATAAGAAAACACAAAATAAAGGGGTAATTTATATGATAAAACTTGTGAAAATTCACATTATGTATAATAATAATAATAATAATAATAATAATAATACTATGCGATTTCCATGGAATGACTTACAGAGTTTCTGGTTAGCACATGATAGACATCTTCTTCCTCCCACAATCTACAACGTTTTCCAGGTTCCTCACTAGATTTTTCCCGAACAATTTTTCTTCCCATTTCTTGTAGCAAGTTATGCATCCACAATTTGTTGTTTTCACTAAAGGTTAGAAGAGACTTCTTGATGAGAACATCGATTCCAATATCCGGGGAAAAACCACAACCATCCAATACTTTCATCACGAAATCTTTCTCGTCCCCATTAAAGAAGCATGCTATATCCAGAAATATATTCTTCTCACTTTCTTCCAATCCATCAAAGCTGATTCGGAGCCTGTCGATAATTTCTTTGTTAGAATCCTTTTCAAGTCTTTGGATTGCACTTCTCCACTGAGCTACATCTCTGCCGCACAAAAAAGAACCCAAAACTTCAACAGCTAAGGGGAGACCACCGGCGTATTTCACAACATGTTCAGAAAGCTCAATGAAAACATCATTTGGCACTGTCTCACTATCAAAAGCTTTCAGATCGAAAAGCCGAAGTGCATCATTGTCATTCAATGTTGTAGGTTTATACACTTCATCTACTCGGTAAGCTTGGAGCAAATGTTCATCTCTTGTTGTTACAATGATCCTGCTCCCTGAACCGAACCAATCATGTCTTCCAACCAAGCATTTCAAGTGTTGTAAATTATCGACATCATCGATAACAACAAGGACCTTTTTGTGAGACAATCTGTGGCTAATTTTGGCGTTTCCTTCCATAACATTGAAAAATTCAATACCTTCATCAAACAAGATCTGGGAAAGAAGTTGTTTTTGTAGAGAAACAAGTCCGAATTTATCAGAAGCCTCTCGTACATCAGCAATGAAGCACTTACCTTCAAAATGAGATGACATTTGATCGTAAACAACTCTTGCCAGAGTTGTTTTACCGATGCCGCCCATTCCACAGATTCCAATAATCCGGACGTCATCTTCTCCGATCTCTATTTTCGAATACAACTCTTCTAAGCGTGATCTAATTCCAACCAATTCATCATGAACAATTGGATATGTCTGACATAATTTTGCTGATAATTTTCTAACAATGTCGCCTATAAACTCCGATTCATTTCTACAAAGCAATAAAATTCAGTTCATTTTTATAATTATTAAATTGATTAAACAAGAAAATAGGGAAGAAAAGAATGGATGACCTGTTATTTAAATGCCATCCTTTGATGTTAGCTACTTGAGTCAAAGCATTTCGCCACCTTGAGATCTTGTTTTTATCTTCCTTGTATCTTTCTGCGTGTTTAACAAATGCTTCTTCGATTTTCTCTTTCTGTTTCCTTAAATAAGATGGATCCACATCGTAGAAAATTGGGAATATTTTATGACCCGTCTCGTTTTTTTGTTTAACAATCTCGGCGAGCTCCTTCAAGCACCAACCGGAAGAGACATAGGTTTCAGATAAAACGATTACCGAGCAATACGATTGTTGAATGGCTTTAAAAAGTTCCGATGCGATCTCCTCACCGGCCTCCAGCTTAAGATCATTCCTGAAAGTGACAATACTGCTCCGTCTCAGAGCACCGTAGAGATGATCCGTAAAGTTCTTGCGAGCGTCTTCGCCTCTAAAACTCAAGAAAACATCGTATTTCTTTCTCCGTATAGATGAGGAAGATGAAGGCAACAACAACATGATGAATTATGAGAAGGAAGTTATATCTGAATTATGAGCATTTTCTCTTTAATAATACCTATGGAAGCGGTCAATGGTAATGCTCTTTAATAATACCCATGGAAGCGGTCAATGGTAGAATTTGGGATTAGGATGTTTATTTACAAGATAATCGCACAAAATGTGCTCAAACTTATGACATTTATTTTAAATTGGTTTTAAATTTTTAAATATATCATATCAATCATTAAATTATTATTATCATTTTATTTTGATTCTTTCATTAAATTGGTGAAGGAGACGAAGAATCAATTGCATATCTTTTCTGTATAGTTGTAGCTATTTTAATTTCTTTGTTTGTGTTGCTTTTTGCTCTTCCTGATAAGTGATAAAGGGAGGCTACACTCAGTATAACGTGTGCAACTATGCATTAGCAATGAATAGTCATTGTTTACAAAGCTTCCAATTTTTACGAAACACTTCCTTTCAGTCTCCTCTTTCCATTTTCTAATTATATTTTTAAAAAATCAACTCAAAAGAGTAGATAGATAAAAATTTACGTGTTCCCACTTTTTTCTTTGTCCATTGCTGTCTCAAACACCTAGTTTTCCGATATATTATTTTCCTTTCCTTCTCCTCCATAGATTTGAAGTCCCAGCATTCCATATAGATACCCTAGCTGAAGAGAATTTCATTTTCAACTTTTCTGTCTTTTGTTCATTATGGTGTTTTTTGCCCTTGTGGGATGTGTGAATGATTAAATTTATTGGTCTGCATTCACCAAGTCTACTTTGAGTTAAATTTATTCTCAGTTACTTCTCATTTCTGTTTTGCAGATACTATACAGATCCCTCTGGCACATTTTGGCAATGCAATGCACAAGCTATTGGCTCTGAAGGTGCAGATAGCTCTTTGCAAGAGCAGTTCAGCAAGGTATCTCTGCTTCTGTTATGTATCTTCCTTTTATTTGACAACAACGTCTAAATAATAAAGATTAACATGCCATGTCCAAATAATAAGTTCCATTGTTTCGACTCTCTTGTATATGCACTTTTTTTTATTCCAATTAATGTAATAATGGATATTTTTTCTTCTCGTATAGGACCTAACTCTTCAAGAAGCCAAAACAATTGATCTGTCCATTTTAAAGCAAGTAATTGAAGAAAAGGTAAGCTTTTTACATTGAATCTTTGCAAGTTCGAAATTGAACCGTATGTACATGTTTATTTTTATGGACAAACTCTTGGTTATTTGAACAATGTAATGTTACAGGTGACTCCCAACAATGGCGATATTGCCAAGGGAGCGCCGACGTACCATCTCTACACCCCTTCAGAAGTGGAAGCTGTCATCACTGGCCTATGAGAAATGCTTTGTCATAAACTATCTTCCCATGCAACATGAGTTGGGGGAGGGGGGGGGTGAGGCTTGTGTTCATTAAGAGGATTCAAACTGTGAAACCTTACTTTTGGTTTGGTGCAAAACTCTTCCACTCTTCAGTTGGATATTTTAATTACTACTAATCAGTAAAAAAGAACCTTTGAATTGGATTTAGTTTGCATTCTCAAATTCTAGCATGTTTATGCCCCATTGCTCATTGTTCATTGGATAGAAATGCCAGTGTTTTGGTTGGGGTCTTTTTTGCCTTGCGCTGTGATGGTGTTGAACTGATTAGGCAGAGGTTGCCTTGGCAGGATGTTGCAACTTTGGAAAACAACTGCCGCATTCCCGAAAATGAAGTCAATCGTGCCCAAAATATGGCATTCTTGGTAAAACTGACTATTGGAATGGGGGTAGAGAGTGTCCTGGTACGCATCAAATGCACAGCGGTAGAACACCGACCAATTAGAACCAGATCGCATAGTCACTGCTTAAGCACCAGCCGTGTTAATGAACCCTATGTCCTTTGCAGCGAATCCTTTCCCTTCCACAGCTGGTAATTCACACAAGAACTACCAGTAATTGACTTAAACTATTCAAGCACATTATCTAATGTGTAACATTTTCTGTAGAAAGCCTAAAGAACAGTGCATAAAACCAGCCAACATGTTACACTGCAGGAAATGAATTTATTCGCTGTCTTTAGGCCTATTCTATTCAATTACTCTTTTAAGCTCTGTCCATTTTGATGTATCTACTTTTCATGTTCAAATATCAATCACTTTTTTCAGGCTTCAATGTCTATTTTACTAAAAATTTTCTACAAACTTCCAAAAGTAGAAGTAAAAATGAGCAGTCCTTATCAACAACATCAGAAGATCAGTTCAGATCACCTTTTAATGAATGAAGCTTGAAGGGAGCATTGAGGGACAGTTTTCCTAAGAAACACCAATGCGTAGTCAAATTGATATTCTAATTCAAGTAGAGTATTGTGGTATATTACTTGCATGTCTTTTTGAATGTTTGGACTGTGACCAAATAAATAAATACTGAAACATAACATAAATAAACAATAATTTCAATACACAATTAAATTAAATGTTTATAAAATAAAAATATAGAAGCATGAAATAAATTTCTAAAATCTATTTTGACATAAGAAAGAATAGGAGTGCTCTGCTCTCCTTGAAATCACAAGGCATTAAACATGTTGAAAAGTTTGTTTAATAAAAATAACAAAGTATACCCAACGGTGTCGTTGTAGTATAGTGGTAAGTATTCCCGCCTGTCACGCGGGTGACCCGGGTTCGATCCCCGGCAACGGCGTCTGCTCTATTTTTCGTCCTTTTTTGCTTTTCAAAGAAAAAAGCTGAAAAACGATATTTTTTGGCTTCGCCCGAACTCGAACCAGAGACCTTCAGTGTGTTAGACTGACGTGATAACCAACTACACCACGAAACTTTCAGTGTCCATTTCGTGTTTTTTATTTATATTACTTATTTTTAAGGGAGTGAAGGAACGCCTTTTGCAGGTTGGCTTGATCATGTTCTTTATCAGTTCATCCTCAAAGTTGGAACCCTATGTGGTCTGTATCCAGGTATGAGGATTTTTGGTTTTTTTTGTTTGTTTTGTACCATCTGTTCAAACACCTATACCTGTCACAAGGTGTTGTCGTAGTGAACTTTTGAAAACCTTGACGAATTCTAGTACTAATTGAAAGAATACGTGGGAATTAAAAATTAAAAAGTCTAAGTGAGAAAAGTTCGAGTTAAAGTGTTATGTAAGCATTTTGTTAATAAAATAATTGAGAAGTGATTAAAACGTTTTAATGTACAAAGTTCGATTATTAAATTAAAAATTTTAAATTTGAATGATTAAAATTAGAGTGAGAAGAAAGTTGAGTGATTAAAATAAGAGTGAGAGGAAAATTGAATGATGATTTACATATTTGAATATCAGTGGCTCTCGTTAGCTTTCTTTGCTTTTAATCAGTTTACCAGTATTGGCAAAGGCAAAGGCAAGCCATTTGCTGATGTTTTCCCATATTCACTTTGCCAGTTTAATCTCAAGCAGACATCTGAGTTTGTTAAATCATTTTCAATGGTGGCTTCATATATAAAGAAACAATGAACCTTGTCTCAACGAAACCTCTCATTAGCTCAACCCATCAATGTGGAGCATGCAATGCCACAGAAGAAAAGAAGAAACTTAACAGACCAGACAGGGCTAAGCAGGATCTAGAAAGGAATGTCCAGAATTCCTTGCTCCCTAGTCTATAGGGCATTGAAGCTTTTTATGTAATACTAGCGCATACAGAACATGGTTTAAATCCATAATAGAAATGGTTATATACATACAGATTTATTCAATATGGTAAAATCCATGATGTTTCTTTCATTCTCACAAAAGTAGTTTGTGTATAAGACTTGGCCCGTTCATAATAAAACAAAACATCAAGGAGATGGAGTTGCAGGGAATCAGAATATGTTATCTGAAACTCTTGTATGGTCTCATGTTGAGGATATGAGGTCCTTTGGCAAGCATCTAAATCTGTTTCTCTTTTTTTTTCCTTCTTCTTTTCTTTTTCATTTGTGATGAACTTGGTTCATTTGCAGTCCTCGATCGATCTTGTAAAAACTGGAACATTGGGATTGAAAGCTTTCATTAGCTTTCTTTACTAATAATGAATTTACCGGTAGTAGCATGTATAGTTAAGATAGAACAAGTTCAGTTATCCAAGAAGATATGAACATTTCTTCTAAGGAAAAAGACATGAACATTAGAAAAAGCATCTCGGAAGAGAGAATCCCACATGGGTAAGCAAGAGCAGGTATCAGTTCTTTATATTTGTTGTTGCATACAGTGTGGATTGCCGAGCTTTGTAACGAATGCTTGTGACCCGAGTGGGGGCACTAAGATGATGGGACATGGGTATGGTTCATTGAGTCGGATCCTACGTGGCTTTACAATGGCCTGCCCGATCCAAGCCAGGAGTTGAGCAATGGTACCTCGGTGAAAACTGTGGGTGTCGTGGCTTCTAGAGTGAAGGGTACTGCGTCAGGCTGGTTTCACAGAGCAGCGAAGACCATCCTCTCTTGGCAGTGGGAGGATTACAGGCTTGATCCATTAAGATCCAAAGGTCTCATTGAGCCGACCATGACTGGACCATTATCTTTTTCTTTTGGCTATGCTGGCCCGGAGTTGTTTCTCAATTTTCTTCTGTCTGCCCTTTTCCTCCGGAAGGAACATTGTTCTTGTTTGCAATTGGAAGAAAAGGCTAGAAGTCCATCAAATCCAGTGCAGTAGTAATTCAATTCACATTATACCTCATAGTCACAATTTCAATCTTTGAGAACCTTTCGAGCATTGTTTGATCACCCAAAGGTGGGGTTCCCACAGAAGGACTGCTTGCGTTTAGAGAAACACTAATATTGCTAACACTTGCAGGAGATCCAACAGCATTTGTTGCTGGGGTCTTGGGGAGGGAATTTGATTTTCGCTTGCCAGCAGCTTGAGACTGGTGATGTTGTTGCATAGAGTCATTTGCACTTGAAGTCAAAGATTAGGTACCACCAACGGCAGGAATTGAGTTAACAGCTGCCTTATCCTTTAGAAATGCTCCAAGTGCATTGGTTGTTGCAACAGCCTCAAAGTGAGGCCCTATAGAACCACTTGAAAATTCAAAGGCTTCTAGAGTGAAGGGTACTGCGTCAGGCTGGTTTCACAGAGCAGCGAAGACCATCCTCTCTTGGCAGTGGGAGGATTACAGGCTTGATCCATTAAGATCCAAAGGTCTCATTGAGCCGACCATGACTGGACCATTATCTTTTTCTTTTGGCTATGCTGGCCCGGAGTTGTTTCTCAATTTTCTTCTGTCTGCCCTTTTCCTCCGGAAGGAACATTGTTCTTGTTTGCAATTGGAAGAAAAGGCTAGAAGTCCATCAAATCCAGTGCAGTAGTAATTCAATTCACATTATACCTCATAGTCACAATTTCAATCTTTGAGAACCTTTCGAGCATTGTTTGATCACCCAAAGGTGGGGTTCCCACAGAAGGACTGCTTGCGTTTAGAGAAACACTAATATTGCTAACACTTGCAGGAGATCCAACAGCATTTGTTGCTGGGGTCTTGGGGAGGGAATTTGATTTTCGCTTGCCAGCAGCTTGAGACTGGTGATGTTGTTGCATAGAGTCATTTGCACTTGAAGTCAAAGATTAGGTACCACCAACGGCAGGAATTGAGTTAACAGCTGCCTTATCCTTTAGAAATGCTCCAAGTGCATTGGTTGTTGCAACAGCCTCAAAGTGAGGCCCTATAGAACCACTTGAAAATTCACCAGCTTTTGATGATAATGGAGATTGAGGGAAAGCCCCACCTGATACACGTGGACTTTGCAGTAATTTCCTTTTTTGGAACCATTCCTCCTTTTTCACATCTTTCTCAACATGCTGATTAATATTGTTCCAAGATGTTTGAAGGAAACTAAGCCTCACAAATCCATGGGGTAATCTCGATTGAAGTCGGCTCTGCTGTGGATCCAAATGGTTTGCATCAGTTTCCCTATTGAATTCAGCACAATCCAACTTGTCCGGATCAAACGGTTCTTCTTTGGAACCATATCTCAATCCTGGCTGTCCAGCAGCAAATGGCATTGTACCAGCCTCCTGATTCAGAACCCCGTCAAAAGCCAGCAGAGGATACTTCTGCATGCTGGCATTTGCATATTGGATTCCTCTTTACATTGCTTGCTGGGGCAGTAACATATTCTTCCAGCTCATATCTGGTCCATGGAGGCCATCCATATGTGGGCCGATTTATTGTTGTGGAATCCCATCTGGTCCAACAGCATTAAGCCTAGTTCTTTTCTTAAGACCAGTTAAGGGTGACACTTGACCACCGGGATTCTCCCGCTTCACAAGAAGAGAAGCACTGGAGTTTATGTTATCAGCATAGGTAATTGACATGTCCTGCATGCTTCTAGAATTCACGGCAGGGGATGTGGCTGATGCAT